TCATCCCGGACATCAGACTCACCTGAGGTATGGCAATGAGAAGTGTAGGAGATTGCCTATTAAGTCAAAAGACTGCTAAGCTTTGCATGAAAACTATTGAAAGTACTGGACTAGAAATGAGTGGATAAATTCACGCCAAATCTTAATGAAGAAATATCATGCTGCTTTCAAAATGCAGGAATGTAGAAAAAACTTGCAAGATTGGATCTTGGTTTAATTCTCTAGGAAAGTTCTTTGATCCTGTACTAATGTATCTAATCAATTTCTGTCTATCACTGGATCTTCATGATCTACACACTGAATTTCTGCTTAACTGAGATAGTTGTAAGAAAATCAGTGTTCTATAAAAAAAGGGGGGAGGAATCTGAACTACAACTAAATATACCACATAGTAGTAACAATGATGAATTTACATGCTGCCTTTTAATATTTTGGTTCCCTATTTTCATTGAGTGTTAAAAAGGTATTCAGTGTTAAAAAGGTATTTTGCTGCTTAAGATCAGTCTAATAAATGGCTATCACTACATCTTGGAGGCAGCAAAGTCCTTATATTAATTATGCACTGTGTAAATAAACATTTTCTTTGATATCCTGAAGTCTTTGGAAATACAGTAGCTCATAAGAGCTGCGAATAGATGAGCAACATACAACATGAGCTGTAAGGATAATCTTGGAAGATAGGAGGAAGAGACACAGCCTAGATTTTTGCCTGAAAAATAGAGGAATGGGGGTGGAGCAAGCTTCTCAGAGGAGACTCCTAAGGAGACACCCAAAGTTTACAAAAATACTTTCAGGTTTGCAAGATTCAAGTTACCGTAAGCTTATAATCAAGATAGCTTTAGTGCTCATACTTTTGGCAGTTTCTTGTCTTTGCTAAATCCATAATGTGTTCAGATAGGAATGACTGTTCTCAACTCTGTCTTTCTAAAATGTACAAATTACAATGTACTGTGATTTGTTCTTATTGCCAGAGCCTACTTGAAACCAACAAACCAAAATAGAAATTGCTGGAACAGGATAGGCAATCTGTGATGTCCTTCAGAAGTTTTGAACTGAGTCTGTGATTATTAGTTAGAGTGTAGATAGATCAAAGATTATTAGTTTAAAACATGTAGAAAGTGGCAGTTTATGTGCTCCCTTACTTGATCCTTCCGTTATTGAAGAATATTGGCAAAAATGAGAAATTGGCATGCAAAAGGTAAAGGAGAAGGAATAGTTTAAGAGGCTGATTATCTTTACAGGAAGTAAGAGAAGAAGCAGATTAGTTATTTTGGGCTGTCAATCTATGCAAATGAAGAAAAATGAACTCCAGGGGACACTGTTGAACAGATATACATAACAATCTCTAGTCTGCCTCTCCTGTGTAAAATGTGGAGTCTTCATGCCTTTCTGTCTGTAAATGTTTCTCTCCCCCCACCCCCACCCCCACCCCGAACCCATCTTTTGATGGTAATTCTAAGGGAGAGAAATATTGGCTGTGAGCATGTACACAAAGAAAAGGAGAAAAAAGAATGAGATTAGAATGTAGGAATTCCTCCTTTCACCACTTGATCAGATCTCTAAAGGTTTGCAAAAACACATGTACTCCTCAGTAGATCGCAGCTGATCTAGACTGGGTTTAAGCAGGAGAAGTTCTAAATATTGCCTCACCCACTCTGTGGCTGAAAACACATAACCCATGTTATTATTTTATTTATTTTATTATTAACAGTTGGGTTGCCAAGTGCCCAAAATTCTTTGACCATACTCTTTTTCTGCCCTAACTTTCTCGTCCAGACCTGAAAGAAAAACTATCCTCTGAAATTGGAGAAAAAAGCAACAGGCAGCATGTAGCAAATAACATTTGGGGAAAAGATGCTACTGAATATTTTATGCTAAGAGGATGGTTGACCTTCCACAGCATGTTGCACTACAACCTATGCCATTTTAGTCTACCATATTGTGTAAATCCAGCCTATTTTTGAATGAATTGAATGAATGCAGTTTTCTTGACAAGATTTCAGAACTACAGGTGAAAATCAAAAAATCAGAATATCATGCAAAAGTTCATTTATTTCAGTAATGCACACTGCCAAAAGCACCAAAACCTGGTTCAATGACCGTGGGATGACTGTGGTTGATTGGCCAGCAAACTCACCTGACCTGAACCCCATAGACAATCTATGGGGCATTGCCAAGAGAAAGATGAGAGACATGAGAGCGAATAATGCAGAAGAGCTGAAGGCCACTATTGAAGCATCCTGCTCTTCCATAACACCTAAGCAGTGCCACAGGCTAATAGCTTCCATGCCACGCCGCATTGAGGCAGTAATTGCTGCAAAAGGGGCCCAAACCAAGTACAGAGTACATCTGCATGCTTATACTTTTCAGAGGTCTGATATTGTTCTATGTACAATCCTTGTTTTATTGATTGCATGTAATATTCTAATTTTCTGAGATTGTGGATTTGGGGTTTTCATGAGCTGTAAGCCATAATCATCACAATTATGACCCATCACAGCTTGAACTATCTTGCTTTGCATGTAATGAGTCTATCTCATATATTACTTTCACTTTTTAAGTTGCATTACTGAAATAAATGAACTTTTGCACGATATTCTAATTTTTTGAGTTTCACCTGTAGTTATTTCCTTTCTAGACCTGAGAGAAAGTGGCCCAAGGTCACTCAGTTAGCTTTGTGCCTCAAATAGGAATAAAACTCAAGGCCTCTAAATTTCTAGCCTGATGCCTTAACCACTGCACTAACATGGCTTTTCATGCAGTACAGAGTCAGGGATAAATGTAAATGTCTGCACATATCAAACAAATGCAACAGTCACATGATTTGTAGTATATCCTCTTCTGTCCACATCCACCTCTGGAATGAGATCCTCTGGCAGATTTTCATAGAAGTAGTAGGTACTATATCTGGGGAAATGTTTCTATGTTCCCTTCCTTGTAACTGATGAAGGTTTGATGGAGTTGATCATTCTGCTTCACTGTGATAGGTTTTCCTTTGGCAGGCAACCCTATATAGTTAGCACTGAATTGTTGAACAACTTGGATATGTTTTTATCTTATGTCCTCAGTACTTACATGCCAAAGAATAAATCAGCAACTTCCCCATTCAAAAATAGTCCAGAGTCTGTTGGCTTACTTATTGCTGTTGAAAGTAATTTGTGTGTCCACTCTGTGTGCCAATATATAGCAGAATGGTGTTATTTCTCTGTCCAATGTCCATATCAAACATTTCTAAGCCTTAATTCTCTAATATACATGACTTTGTGGCTATCTTTGTTAATCTTGATTCACCACTTTCTTTCTTTTGAAAATCTGTCCCCTTTAGTATCTTTATTTCTATAGATTCCTTCTACTCTGTATGCTCTAAATTGCCAGGTTATAATTTCCCTCATTCTCTTCCATTAATACAAATTAATACACACTGAGTAAAGATGGCTAGGAAAAGAGTCCACCAAATCAAGAATATATTAGGCTGAGGAAGACTATTCAAGATTGTAAGCAGGAGCTGATCTATACCATAGCCCTCAACTATTTTAGTCACATTAGAAGTTTGTAGTCATCAGATTAATTCTTAATTAATTCCAGGGGCTTGAATCTGGCCATTTTTAATTTTTATTGGTCTTCATTCTAATCTAGATCAAAAGTTAAACCGTGATTTCAGTTAAACCTCATCTGGGCAGTGTGGTTTATTTTTCTTGTCATAGTCTAAGTGGTAGAAAAATATTGAAAGGAAAAGGTTGGAAAAAAAGACTTCTTCGTGTAGCCAGTTAAGTGCTTTCTCATTTCTGACCAGGAAAATAATCTAAATTTCTATTTTTTTTCTTCTGTATCTCTCTTACATAATGGGTTGTCAATTATGGGAACAAAAATTCAGCATATCTAAGAATTGAATTTGGCAAGGTTGCCATAACACTGCAGTTGATTTAGAAATATATACTTAGTAGATACATATGCTAAGTAGAGCAATACAAATTCCAATTTTAGCATCACAATTGAGTTAAGATCATTTGAAAGGGAGAACTGAAGATCAGAGTTAAAAAGCAGAAACCAGAGAAAATATTTTTGTCCAACTTTTATTTTGGATTTCAATCTTTTTCTTTGCTATAGATCTACAATATACCTAATGTATAACTAATATTTACTGGAGTTTATCAGTAGGTCAGTTTGACTATTTAATAGAGTTGAAGACAGCAGGTGAGAAAACATTGCATCTTTGGCAAAATAATATACATGTTAATTGCTAAGTTCCACACACCTAGGTACTGGTACCTAAAAGACACAAGTACAAAGGTGAGAATAGGGGAATTAGATGGAATAAACTCCAATGTTAATGTTAACTATCAAATTTAAAAATCATCCAAGCCGAGGACAATTGTCATGGTGAAACTAAGGGAAGCTGGAAGGTATAAGCTGTTCTGTAAATATTACTCTATTTTTGAAATGTTAGAAGGGTACTAATAAAAATGTAATGAGTCATCAAAAGGAACAGTGACAGATTTGAGGGGTACATTGCTGGTTTGATTTACTTTTGAGTGAAACAGAAAAAAACATTGGAGTGGATAAGTTTAATGAATTGTTTGCTTATTAATATAAAAAGTTCAGGCCATTGCAAGCAAGCAGCATTGCATCTCAAAATAATTGTAGTCATGGTATTTCTGCCAAGATTGTTTTCCACACTTAATACACAAAGAGTTTTTAAGATTTCTTTATACTATACAAATGTCTTTTGGAGCAGAAATACTGAGTACAGAATAATTAAATTATTGTATCTACTCTTAACTTGTATGTTATCTTATTTCTTTTGCTGTTTATTATATTGTTTTTTTGTTTTTTAAATGAACTTTATTAGACTATTTTTAATTATGTATTACTTAGATGTTTTATGTATTCCTTAGTAACTAGCCAGGAATTATAGACGTTTAAGCCGTTCAGAGAGCTGGGTAAGGGATAGGTGTCATACAATGAGGTGGTTGGATTACTTTTCTTTATTGTTTTCATAGTTGCTTGAAGATGTGGCTACAGATCCAGTATATGTGAACTTACAAGAACTACAGTTGGAGCACAGTACTACCACTGCCAGAGATTCCCAGTCCCCATTTCAGTTGTGCCTCAGCAACTCTTTGAACAACTGGGAAATTCACACCGACACCAAAAGTGGTCATTTCTTCTATTATAATTCTGTGACTGGTCAGACAACTTGGGAGTCTCCCTTTGGGGCTCCCTTTGGGGATAGTGTGAGTCTTTCCCACTCTCACTGTCCCAGCCCTGTCTCATCTGCTGAATGGAACCAATATGTAGATAAGGCCAGTGGGCAAATATTTTTCTATAATGCAGCAACAGGTGAGACTTCGTGGGAGGCACCCCAAGAAACTTTCAATCCCCCAGAGATGCGGCCTGCATTTACTAGAAGATCTTCAGATCGGAGGGTAGGTGAATGGGAGAAGTCTATTAAAAACATCAAATACAAAGAAAAATGATAAAATAATAAAGTAAAATAAAATATGTTGTGGAGATCAGTCCCACAACTCATAATTATAACTGAGAAAATATCTGGAGAAAAAGCAGATGTTCAGGACCTTTTTAGAGGCCAGCAGGACTGGACTCAACTGGATGTTGGGGTGGTTCTTCCATAATTCTCAAGCCTTGGGGGGAAAACCCTCTAAGCCAGAATCCTTTCAACTGTGTGGGGAGGAAAAAAGGTTGTTTGTGTATTGACCTCTTTTCTAATATTTTTTCAGCCACCAACTCCAGAAACTGACTACCCAAAATTTTCTTCTTATGAACATGAAGTCTCTCCAAAGGAAGGTTATTCTCCAGATGGATCCTACAAGCAATTTGACTATGCTGGTATTCCTTCATCAGACCAGGGTTGTGCTTCCCCTGGCACTTCAGAAACATCAATGTTTGAGGTCCCAGACATGGTAAGAATATCTTGGAAAGACTGGGAGGGAGTGGGGGCACAGAGAGAGATCCAAGGAAGAATTTCCAGACCATGAAACTATTAGCAATGGATTGGCCTACTTCCTGGTATTCTGCATGTTCCATCACTAGAGGTTTTCAAACAAAAGTTAGGAAGCCAATTGGGCAGATCTGAGGATTCCTGCCCTGGGAAAGTTGTTGGATTAGAAGACCTCCAACATAGTTTCAATCCTATGATTCTGCGAATACAAGATTAATTTTACAATGAGGCAGAGACATTCTAATGGTAGAATCAGAGCTGTTTAAATTAAAACAATAATGTAATCGCATAGAACAAGGAATTTACTTTATAATGTATACTGAGCCATGATAAGTTATTCAGAAACCCATGGTTAAGCAAACCACCATTTGCCTCTATGATCCCAGTCACTGAATGAGATAGACACAGTAAAAATGCCAATCTGTAAAACAAATTCTAAAGTTTAATCAATTGGCATACAAATTCATCTGCTGAAAGTAAGAGGAGATAAAATGGGTTATCTACTGATAGGTGTAAATACAAATTTGAGTGTAACAATACAGTAGATCATGATCCTGGTGAACTGTGGTATGAGTGCCTGTATGTTGTTTACTGCTGCTAAAATTATTATACTTAGGTGACCACTTCTGGCAAGCGCCCGAGCACCAGTAGTGGATCTAGTCGTGGCAGCAGTTCTTTTGCAAGTTGGTTCCCCAGCCAGTCAGTTCACCCTGGGTCAAAAGATAAGCAGGTATGAAAGAAAAGGTCTCTCCTTGCTAATAGCAGATATGGTGGGGTTTTGATAGATAAATGGAGAAGCCAAGGGTCCCCAAACTTGGGGCTGGCTGAGGAATTCTGGGAGTTGAAGTCCGCAAGTCTTAAAGTCAGGGGTGGGATTCAAAAATTTTAACATGTTCTGTAAGCATGGCTTAGGTGGTGGGTGTGGCTTGGTGGCCATGTGACTGGGTGGCCATGGCTTGGTGGTCATGTTATTGGCTGTGTGTGGCAAACTCAATATCACTCACATCGAGACACACATCTCCTTGCCTGGCCTCTCATGACTGTGGGGATGCTGCAACAGTCGTAAATGTGAAAAATGGTCATAAGTCACTTTTTTCAGTGCCATTGTAACTTTAAATGGTCACTACACACGAGCAAAGTACCAGCAAAAGAAGAGAGAAAAACTCCAGAGAAGTTCCAGAGACAGGAAATGTAGCCCTGCCAAGAATGTAATAAGGGTTAACGGAGAGGCAGTTTCTGTAAGCAACACCAGAATGTTTCCTTCCTGCCTTCCTTACAGGATTAGGCCAGTAATTTCTTCTAACAGCAGGTTCTCCGAACTGCTTAGAATGTTAACAACCGATTATAGCAAATAGGTGTAAACCTGTAGAATCCCACCCCTGCTTAAAGTTGCCAAGTATGGAGACATCTGGCCTAATCCTTTGCATACTTTGAACCAGGAGAACCTTTTGGAAAGATGAAATGATGGGAATAGGATGGCCAAAATAGCTGCCACTTTCAAACAGCCACTTAGTGCCTACAATTACCATTTCCATGTTGTCCATTTCCTGATCTTATTTCCTTAAATTATAACAGAGTCCAAGCCCCACCACAGTAGAAGAAACTCAAGAATTATTTTCTCTCTAAGGAAGGTGAAAAGGGGCTATTTTAATGAGTTTGAAAATGCAAATATAAAATGTCTACCAATAGGCTCCCAATTTTTAGCATCTTTCCTGTACTCTGGATTAAATTAGACAATATCTGAAGTATTGTATTGTCTTAATTCCTAGATTTATTTCTTAAACTTACAGTGGCCTAAGCCAAATCAAGATAAGCACGCTTGGGAAGTGAGAAGTGCTTAGCCCTTCTCCCAGTAACTTTGGATTTGTTTAAAAGCAATCCTCAATGGCTCAAGATTGTTGCTAGTCAGCTACTGATCCTGTCTAATAGCAGAGCCACCCTTTACTCTGATGATGGGGTTTTCCCCAGCAACTAGGACAAAATTAAATTGCCATTTCTTTTTCTCCACCTTGCCAGCTGAAATCTCTTGAGAAAGCTGGGATGCTATATCGGACAAGAACTGCTGATAAAGGGAAACGGCTGAGGTAAGAGGGGCCTATTGTGTGTGTTTTATGGATTTACTTCAGCCTTTCTGATGTAGGGAGATCAGTTGAGGTTGCCTTCTAAGGTTCTGCTTCCTCCTTGTTCAGTCATTCAAGGCATAAGATATAATCTCTTTCTCTAGTCAATAGCAGCCTAGTTATTAGATAATTCTTAGGTGTTTTAATTCCTTGCCTCTAGATTGGCATAAATCTTTAGCCATTAGTATGAGGAAGAGTTGGAAATAAAACCATGTTCCTGAGTCATTACAAGGAAAGTAGTGGTAGCCATTGAGTTTCGCCCTACTCCACCCAAAGAAATCTTAAACATATAAGTGTTACCATTGAATTGAAAAGCAAGACTCTAACTAAAAATGTGTAGTGGACATCATAGTTCTGTAAGACTTTTGAAAAATGCTGGTTCAGGCAAGGTAGAGCATAATTCCAGAGACTTAAACATATTTTGGGGAGGGAATGCATCACTAATAAATTCACTAACAAATCATTACTGATTAAGCAAAAGCAAGCAAGGTTGAATTTAAATAAAGCAAATAATCAGTACAATTAAAAGCAGCTTTAAGCCAGGTCAGAGGGGAAGGTGTTTGTCAATTGCCAGTTGCCTTCTTTGGCACATTTTCAAGAACTAAATGAGTCTACATTCCCCTGAATAAAATCACTCATTGCAGCATAGTTAGCCACTTCTCAGCTTTTCCTCCCACGCCTTTTTTATTTACTTGTGAGCAATTTGGAACTGAATTATTGACCTTCTGATTGTGTCTCCCTCTCATTCTTCAGCTATATATTGTCTGTCTATCTGTCTTGCATACTATTTTGAGCCTGTTTTCTCATGACGACTGATCATTCATAGAGACATACTCCTTTTGTATGTTGATTATTAAGAGTAATGTGTGTTGAAAAATGATGAGAGAAAAAGGGAATATTGCTGTCTATGTTTGTATAGTTATACTATTTTTTTTCCAAAACCTTACTTTCAGTTTATGTCTATCCAGTTAATTCTATGAATGATGTGTTCTTTCTTTATCTTCTTTTAGGAAGAACTGGGCCTGTGTATGGACAGTCTTGGAAGGTGGTGCCTTAATATTTTTCAAGGACTCCAAGCATTCATCTTCCAGTAGTACAGTAAGTCTTCAGCCTTAGATTCCTACTTTGAGATAACCAGTTGATATTACAGTAGAATAGAGAGTAGATGAAGAAATTCAAATTTATAAATACAGTTAATTTAAAAATAATCTTCCTTTATATGAAGCTGCCTGATTCTTGAGGTATCTTCAGGAGTCTTTTCTTCTCATCTCACAGTTGCATTTGGTTAGTAAAAATCAATTTCCAAACTTTGAAATATGTGTTTCTCTATGAATGAATAAAAATTCTGTTTGGCTCATATAATTTTTATAAATTATTTTTAAATATATATGTCCAGTCAAAAAGAAACATCTGTAACTATGTTAATAATATGACACAACATTAAAAGTAAAGCAAAACTAGTATGAGGAAGACTTAGACAATTACACCGTATATAAAATAACAAAAAAAATACCAAACTGCTTTGAAGTTCTCTTTTTGCCTCTTTATTAGATAAAACTTAATTAAATGATAATAAATGTCATATGAGTCATCCTTATGTGGAATTTTAACAGAAACTTTTCCTTCATTTTGCCTCACACCTTTATTTTACACATTTGATTCATAGTTTCTTCTCTTTTTTTGGAAGCCCTGCAAGTTGTTACTACAGTATGCCCAACTGTATTTGCTAACATTTATTTGATCTTTTAAATGATGACCCTTTTTGTCTTTAAGTCTATTTTTTTGCTTCCTTAAGCTTTTTGTTGGAACAATAGGATAAATGTTTTTCATAAACTATGCCAAAAAGGTTACTGTCCCATACCTCCTCTCTGATAAAATTAATAGATTATTTAGGATGCAATTTTGCCATATTATTCCCAACTATCTTGCCATTGATAATGTTAGCTGTGCAATGAAGTACTATTTTAATGTTTCTGGAGGACACAATGATGAAGATAGTTGCCTTTGTGGATTTTCATCTCTAACAGCTAAACCTTACTTTAAATTAGAAACTTTTCTGTTTTCATTTATATTCACACCAATTGATTAGAAATATGTATGCATAACTAAAATCTTACTCACACGGCATAGTTTGGCCCAAAATCTAGATATCTGTGGAAGCAAGATACATTAGTCATAATAGAATAATTTGTATGCTGGATAGATATAATGTAATAAAGGAAGATGGGGAGTCGGGAGTCCAATCTGAACATTTGTGTTACTTCTACTTTTTTTCTTTGCACATTTAGAAGTATCCCTCTGTGCTAAGCAACCCAGAGTTTAACGTGAATCTTCATGGTGCATCTCTTTCCTGGGCCCACAAAGACAGGTCAAGTAGGAAAAATGTTTTGGAGGTAAGAAAAAATGGCCATCATTGTCAAGTATGCCAGAGTTTAGAGAGAAGGAAAAATGTCCCTATTCCCTGGACCATCTCTGCTGCATAAGGCAAAATTAAAAGGCATTTATCTTATTGATGCAGTCAATACATTTTAGGAAATGTATCTTACGCTATTTGAAGAAAAATGATAAGAGATAATAGGCAACCAACCGATGAACCTGTAGTTATGATGGGGGAGGGCAGTCTCCAAAGCATCCAATTCTTTTTTGTTAACGAATCAGTTTAGTTATTTCTTGATATGGATTACTATTATGGAAATGCAATATGCTTTATCCTAAGTCACTCATAAAATAAGTCTAAAAACCAATGAAGACTTGCAAGTGCAATTTGGTAAATTAGAACAATTTCCAATGTTTGTGGAGAACAACTTTTAGATATCACATACAAATGCTTGTTCTGTTGTAGCTGAAGACACAGGATGGCTCAGAGTATTTGATCCAACATGATTTGGACTCCATTGCCAGCATGTGGCACAGTGCAATTAGTCATAGAATTGGCAGACTGGTATGTCTCTTGTTACTGCATCTATTCTATCCCAAATGAAGCCCAAAACTTTTTCATATACTGTATGTCTCTTGTTACTGCATCTATTCTATCCCAAATGAAGCCCAAAACTTTTTCATATACTGTATAGCCAGGGTGGGAGTCATCAGGATGGTATGTACAATCGACTTTCACTTAAACTCTCAAAGCAGAGAGATATAGCTCTTGTGTTATGGTTCCATATCTAGCCTTTTCAGAGGTTACTAAAGTACAGCAATTCTCATCATTGGCTGTGCTAGCTGGCATTGCTGGGAGTTGAACCTGGAGGGGTACATATGTTTTATTCTTAACATACACCATGGTAAAGTTAAAATCTCTGGGTTATTTTTTATGTTGTGGTTCCTGAATGTAGGTAAATTTCATGCAGATCAGGGGCATTTAAGAGCATCAGAAGAAAGGTTTTTTTTTTTTTAAAAAAAAGTTCCCTTATGCAAAAGCAATACAAGTATTTTCTTTCTGCTAGAAAAGCCTCTTTCTCTCTTTTTTTACAGTGAACAGTTTTAAACACTCTGGTGGGGAAATGTAGCAATTCCTGAGCTTTAAGTCTTGCAAATGTCATTTTGTTTTAAAAACTTTCTTTTTGTGAGCTCAGATAAAAGGAGAAGGGATGGTAACTGATAAAAAAAAGTTTCTCTTTCTCTTCAGCAATGAGCAAGCTGGTATATGACATAAATGTATGCAAAACTTGTCACTGAACTTAACATGCACTCAAACCTCCTTTGTGGTTTTTGCACACAAAGTGATGCTTTTTTTCTGCCATTGCTCTGCCTCTTTAATTGGATTTCATAGGAGCATCCAGATGACTCTCATTTTCATTTGTAAACCTTCCATGTTTTTAAAAAGTATAGTTTTCCATGCATGACCCTTTATTTCCTTTCCTATCCACTTTTCTTTATATATTGATCTTTGAATATTTATTATTACTACCATTGTTGCCTGCCCCCCCCCCAAAAAAAAAGGAAGGAAAGATAGAATATTTACCAATTGCTAGTGGGACTGACAATGTTAGGATTTCATAGTTCTAGCTTTTTTGGCAGGTATGACAATAATTGTTCTGTATTTCTTTTGTTCAGTCTATAGATTTCCCTTTGGAAGTGGTTGATGATAATTTAGCAGCTGTAAAATCCAAGGAACAAACCGGAGGGAGCAAAGAGAAAGAAAGTGAAAAAAAGCATCCAGGTCTGTGTCTGTTCATTGGCAATTGTATGTGATTTGAGTTGACAACAGTGATACAATACGTGATGAAAACTAAAATGGAAACATCACATATGTTTGCAGATTAACTAATTCATCAATACCATAGACATACTTATCCACAGATACATGATAGTTTTTCAGGATTAGGATTTGTTAATCCCTCTTTTACCTAAAATACTTAAAGAGGATTTAGTAACCAGGAATCTTTTTTTAGGACTTCAAGTTACCATAAAATTAAAGATTGCTACTGAATTAGAATCTGTTTAATATATTTTTTTCAACAGTGGACCTTTGTTTTTGTTCTGATAAACAATGTTCAAGTTTCGCCAATGAAAACCTGCAATGCAGGCTGTTTCTTTGTTTTGTCTTGTTTTCAAGGGATTCGGTGGAGAAATGGCAAAATGCATGCTGGCCGTTCATTTTTTTTTCTCTTAACTAGGTAAAATTGACAAAGATTTCAACTAAATTTCTATTTCAAGTCCAAGTGACAGGAAGAACTGTTGTAAAAAATTCTTCAATCTACTGAAGACATGCCAACAAAAACAAAAGCAGTTGGCATTTGCTTTCATGAATGGGAAGGGAAAAGAAATAGGAGACAGATCACCTGACTATTAGTGTGACCAAGGGGGAAAATGTGACTGAAATCCAGAAAGGAATTTTGTAAGCCAGTTTAATTTCCAGCTAGTTTATATACAGATCAGCAGCTGAAGGCTGCAGTGTGGAAAAGGCTAAGAAGGAGGCTAAAACTGTAGTATGCTAAGCCACGCATATTGAAAAAGTGTGTGTTTCTTTACAAGTTGTGAAAGAGGTTTGAATATGAATTAACAAGAAGCAATCCTAGAACATAAAGATTAAAACAAACACATAATAGACCAAACTCTGTTATATATCTAAGCCACTTTCCTCTAAATGGGTGGGATGTACAGAATGTCTAACTCTATACCCCGGAAGGGCCCAAGGTTAGGGCAGAGTGCCTTACCAGACTGCAGGAATTATCTTCTGGATAGTCTGGATCCGGCAAGTTTTGATTGGTCTGCTTGCTCAGGAAAGGAAGGATTTTTACATAGAAGATCCCCATATTGATAAAGCTCCTGACGTTTAGGAGAAAGAGTAGCATATATGTAACATAAATATGACTAATGGCATTTGTAGTATGGTAGCAATTACAATATTTTTAAAAGTAATGGTTTTGCCATGCATGACAGTACAAACTTTTTATTTCCTTTCCTATCCTCTTTCCTTCATATGTTGATCTTTGAATATTTGTAAAGGTGAATTCTCCTTCAAGCTGAGCTTCATTTCTACTGATTTCATGAATGTACTTCATGCATTTCGTAATATTCTTGGCAGCAGCACAGAATAGGAACCAGTAGAAAGGGATTTATGAATTGTTTTATTTATTTATGTATGTATGTATTTATTTATTTGTCAAGCGATTATTAGATAACAGGTATAAGTATAAACATGGTTATGAATACATGAAATGGGTACGAATAAGAAAAAGAAACAAACAATAGGACAGGGATGGTAGGCATGTTAGTGCGCTTATGCACGCCCACTGCGGACCTCTTAGGAAAGAGATGAGGTCAATAGTAGACAGTCTAAGGTTAAAGTTTTAGGGATTTGGGGTAGAAACCACAGAGTCAGGTAGAGTATTTCAGACATTGACTGAATTGCTGAATTGATTTTATTCCTTCAGCTGAAAGACTGCACACCCTCCAAAAGACTTATTTTCAATACAAGTGAACATACTATGTAAAAAGCCTCTAAAAATAACCTTGATGGAGAAACTTATATTTTTCTCTTTTTGCTGCTTCCCCCACCCCCTGCGAGAGGTTCAGTAAAAGTTTCAGCACACTTTTAAAACAATGCCCCACTCCCTATTTGACTATTCTAATGCCAGTTGTCCCTTTGCAGCTTTCTGGCACTCTCATGGTTCCGATAGTGATTCCAGCAAAATCCGCTATATGCTCAGGAAATTTCTGCTGAAGCGTCCACCTCTACAGTACCTGAGAGATCGAGGCTACATTAAAGGTAAATTCCCTGGAGAGAAGGAATGCTGCTTAAAAAATGACCTTGGAGTGCCACTCAGGCCCACAGTTGGCTATCATTTGTTGTTAATTTGTAGCCATTTAAAATACTTTTAACATTTAAGTTATAAGGGGCTCAACCACCGCTTGCCAAGTTAATACTGCCCTCTAAATGAAAGCATATTCATTTAGAAAATAATCTGATCCATCTTTCTTGCCTGAGTTGATGTGGGTTTTTTTATGTTGTTGTTTTTGTTTAAATTCAGATCAGGTATTTGGATGTTCTCTTCAAGTTCTTTGTGATCGTGAAAAAAGTACAGTGCCTTACTTCGTCAGGCAGTGCATCGCCACTGTGGAGAAAAGAGGTATGCAATACTCTACATTTCATCTAAACTGAAAATCTGATCCCAGACAGCCTACATCTTCGATTCTGTGATGTGCATCCATCACACAACAACCAGAATTTCCATAACATTTACATTTTGAGTCCTTCGTTCTGGTTTTGTGGCTCATTAAAAGCGCTTGTTGTTTTTTGTACTGAAGCAAAATAAATGCAAAGTGTGAGAAAAGGCCCTTACTTTGCACCTATTTTTCTCTTGTGGAGATACAGATAATAGTTGCCATTTCTCTGTCTCTCAGGCTTGGATATTGATGGACTTTATCGGATAAGTGGTAACCTGGCTACAATACAAAATTTGCGCTACAGAGTTGACCACGGTAAGCTACTGTGACTTGCAAATGGGATAGTTAAGTGAGGCATAATGTCCATTGCCTGTAGAAGATCTCAGGTTGTTCATTTCTGTGAAGATGAATATAGAGATGTATATAGGAGGCTTCCTGAAACCTGGACAGTGTCCAGGGATGTTGGTATCAACATCTTTGTCTGAATGCCTAATAGAAGGATATTATGCATGATATTCTAGCATGAAAGAAATGTTTCCCAATCCCATCCTATTGCCCAGAACCCACATGGACATACTAGGATACATGGAGCAGCCCTCAAGGGGTCAGATCCTTGGAGCCACTTTCTCATGTCATGGCATACACTAGATAAAGCAAGGTGAGGAATATCTAGCTCAGTGTTTTTGAAACACAGCAATTTTTAAGATGTGTATACTTCAGCTGTCAGAATTCTATAACCACCATACTGGGAGTTGAAGTCCACACAGTTGAAGTCGTAAGGATGCCAAGGTTGAATAACTTTGGTCTAAACAAAACTTTCTAACACTAAAATAGCTAATCCAAGTTACTTTCCAATGGAACTAAATTTGAGCTTCCTTCTGAAAGTTAAGTGCATTTTGAGAGAGTTGCCTTTTCTTCTTCAGCATGGTTCTGGAGCAAATATTACTAAATTATTCTCTGGTCCAAGGATTGTGAATAAATGTTGGTCTATAAATCAGTTATGGCTGTATTGCTATCATTATCTTCAGTGCTAAGGGACATGGGATGAGACTGGGCATGTATATATTGTATTTTAATTTTCATTAATTTTGCAGATGAGTATCTGGATCTTGATAGTGGCCAGTGGGATGATGTTCATGTCATCACTGGGGCACTCAAACTCTTCTTCCGCGAACTACCCGAACCGCTTTTCCCCTTCAGATTTTTCAACCGATTAATTGCTGCTGCTGGTAAGACAATCTTTTACTCTTAGGAAGGATAAAAGGATTATTTAGTGGCTAACTTTGAATATATGTATCAAAGCCAAAGTTTTTTTTTGACTGTAAAATATATCTTCCATAGCTAAGGTGCAGTCAGAATGTTTTTTATTGAACACCTTAGATCCACAAATCATAATAGGGCAAATTTAAGGAGCGGGGGTGGGTAGGTGGGGGAGCACTTTGAGTTAGTTTTGACTCCTGATGACTGCCTGGACTAATACATTTTCATGGCAACAATTTCAAAAGCAAATTGCTACTTCTTTCTTCCTATTGACTACCTCTAAATTATCAGCTGGCTTCATGCCTAAGCTGAACTAATACTTCCAAAATTAGAATTTTGAGTTCAGAAAGGCGATTTGAATATTCTGCATATAAAACTCCATTTCTCCAGGTTATCTACATCTCAGTTGTTTCTCTTGTTGAAACAAATGGGAATTAGAAATTGTGTCAATTTAGCACATCACCTAGATTGATAGTAGAAGATACAGGTCCATTCTGTCCTATTGCTTGTTGATCATTTAAAGCAGATTTAGCGAATCTTGTAGCAGCTGAAGATCATATTTACTGTTTTTAAACTGTGAAAATTTAAAAGGTAGTTGGTAGACAGAGTGTAACATTAAACCTGGACATGGCCAGGTCAAAAGAAAAAAAAAACCTAAAAATAAATGGAGTAATTTTCTGTGGATTATAATATTTAAATCTAATTTATTTTTTTAAAGTTTAAATCCAGTCTAAATTTATAGTGTATAGAGCCAGTTTTGTCTAGTGGTTACACCACCAGATAGAAAGTATGAGACAATGAGTTCAAGTCGTGCCTTAGCCATCCTCAGCCCAGCCCACCCTAACAGGGTTGTTGTTGTGGGGAAAATAGGAGGAGGAAGATGTGTTAGATATGTTCGCTGCCTTGAGTTATTTGTAAAAATGATAAAGGCAGGGTACAAATAAATAAATGATAAATAATTTAAATATCTGCCTTCAAATAACAGTGTTACAAATCAAAAGTGCTTCTTAATCAGCAAATTGCAATGAGGAGATGGTTAATAAGGTCACATTAGAGCTCTATTTAGGAAAAGTAACACAGGTTGCCTTCTCGTGCCTTGTAACAGTATCAATTTAGGTAACAATAACCACAAATATCAAGATCTGATGGTCCGAGTGGTTATTGTCATGTTGGATGCCATGCCAAAAAATCTTGGACAGTGCATTAAAAATCTGCACATTGACAAAATTTCCATCTAACAGTTAGAAAAGATCATTCTGCTGGGATTCACATAAATATTATCCTAATACAATTTCCTAGGTTCTTAGGAAAAACTCAATGCATTTGAAGGCCAACACAGCTGAAAGACTGACAGTTGTGATTTCACATAATATTTTTACTGAACTAAGAAAGTTGTGAGAAAAAAAATACAGAATTAAAAACATCGACACAAGCAAAAGCAAAAAAGGGAATAGAATAGGCACTTCATAAAATACACATAGAGACGCATATGCATATTTTAAGATATACTCTTTGGAATCTAAGGAGTCATGCCATCTAGCAAACTAGGCTTGGCATAGCCTTTCTTTGTAAAATCAAATTAGGAGAATGTGACTTCTGGTCTAGTATGCGCCTTTCCTTTCCCCTTGCTCTTGACTGCTGGAAAGAACAGGGTGGCAAGAAAGTAAATAATGGTATGATGTCCTGTATTTCCATTGCAGTGAAAAATAACAGTGAAAAAAACTAGACAATCTACTGTTATTTCTTAGAACTAGTTATATAAAGAACAGAATGAGTGAAATCTCCTTTTTTGGGGGGGGGGGACTACAGAAGTTATAGACCCCGCAAAGCGAAGGCATCATTTACGAGAGGTTGTGCATTCTCTACCTCCTGCTAATTTCAATACCTCAAGAGTTCTCTTCCAGCATCTTTCCAGGTGAGCAGCATCATTTTCCAGATTTTTGTCAGTTTGGGCTGTTAAAATACTAATTTTACAATAAAAGCAGTCCTGTGACCATAGATCCTTTGTAAATGTACTGCTTCAACCACAGTCTCCTCCAAGCTAGAGTCAACCCTTATGACAGTTTTCTTTGCCTTTTGGTCTTCCTATCTTTAACTTCCCACTTGAAAGCAGACCCCCACCCCACTCATTTCCTTATCCCATCAGGCCTGTCTGCTTGCCTGATTGCACCACTGTAGAAATTTAGTTGATGACACTTTCAGTTGCTATGCTGCTTGAAAGAAACAATATTTAATGAAACTTAAACAGCCAGATAGGCACAAAAGGGCAAGTAGTTAGCAATCATCTTTATAGAAGACTACTAGTACTTCATAAAAGTATTGTAAGTGATAAACTTAAACCCAAACAAAAGAAATTGGAATTTAAGTCCACTTACTTCTGGTGGCATAGCAGAATTGTTCTTATGGCTTCAAGGTGTTCTTCCTTTTTTCCCCCCCAGGGTTGTAGAGTTCCGGGAGAAGAACCGCATGTCCCAGCAGAGTGTTGCAATTGTTTTTGGGCCAACTTTATTGAGGCCACAGGATGAAGAAGAAAATATAGCGATGTACATGTTTTTCCAGAATCAGGTTATGGAGCAGATCCTTAGTCAGACCAGTTACATATTCCCAGAAAGCTAGACATAGAGCTGTATAATGGAGTGACTGCAATGTGAGAACCACTCCTGCTGCTGTAAGGAAAGAGGGGTCACTGGCTAGAGCCACAGATAAGGAAATGAAGCTGGGAGAGAAACATTTGGCAAGCAAGCAAATCTTCTCTGCTGGATTCAAAAAGTTTGTTTTTGTAGGTTGGAAACATGGGTGAGTAAACCCTGTTGGACAAGTAATGGGCTAATTTCCTGGCATGGCATTCTGCATCAGTAATTTTCAACACTTTCGTTGACTATGACTTGGTGTGGGTAACGTGTGGGGAAAATGGGAGGTTTTGTGAGTGAATCTAAAGATTTATTTTTCAACTGAAGTAATTATTTTTCAAGCAATACTACTTGCTGTGAAGGAGTTGAAGGAAACAGTATACCAATTAATATATTTTGAATTTTCAGGAGGATTTTCTTTAATGAAGCATTGTTGAAAATGTGAGATGGGCTTGAAGAAAGTCAGACTTTCATTTGGGCTAACATTGATTACTCTGACCACACTTTATTGACTGCATGGCATAAAATGTCACAGTACTAATATATGATCACAGTATTGGCATTGTAATACAGAATACAGATTTGTTATATTAATTTCTGTGTATCCGTTGCTTGTTCCAATATATGTGTAAATTATCTGAGGTAAGATAACTTGCACTTTGAGATCAATAAAGTGGAATTCAACTTACCTGTGTATCTGATCCTTGAGTAAACCAAGTTCAATATAATTACATATATGTTTACAGTAAAAGAGGGCATCCCATGAACTGTAGAACCCGACTGTTATATAACAACAATGGTTGGCAAAATGGCCAAAAGTTATAACTCTTCAGAAGATTGAGAGGTTGAGTTGTAGCATCTGACCTCCCAAGTACTGCATACTCTATGGTTGGAAGCTGCTCAGAGAGCTTGTTACACCTACAGTTCCGTCCTAATGGCCTCTCCCACAGGGGATGCTTTGGGAATTTTAGCTGGATCTTTTTTTCTCTACCACCTCCAAGCTGGCCCATTTTCAGACATTTTTAATATTATCTTTTATATTATTATCTTATATCCTATTCTATTCAATTTTCAGAGTTATTTTGTTGAAAGGCAAAGACAGTAGGGTATAGTCCACATTGACTGATGGCACCACCACCTGCTGATGTGAAAATTTGTTCTTTTAGAATTATTTGGATGGGTTTAGCATTTTTCCCCATTAAACTAGATCTACTCAGCCTTAGCCTAATGCCAGCCTGGGACAGAAAGAATTCCAGCCTTCTCCTTTATATGTTTTCTTTCAATATTCCATTAAGCAGAAAAGAAAATCAGAATAGTGAATGTATGCAGAAAGTTATTCTGCTGACAGTGGATGGCAAACACATCCTTGAAAATCCATAAACTATTTTGGAAATATTTTTCTCTCTCTTTTGTTTAAATGCAATAGTTTCGTGTGTTTTTTTTTTTTTTTTTTTTGTTTGTTTTCTGTCTTGATGAAGAGAGAAGGCACTGCATCCAGGATTTTTAGTGGGTAATGAACTTAGAAGACCTAGCATATTGTCCAGGTCTTCTGTACCATTAATTTTTGTCTCCGGCTACAACTACCCAGCATTCTTTTACGGGATTCGTAAAATTTGAAAAGCCATGAGACAGCTGTCTATGCTCATCATTCTTTCTTAGAAGGCTCTACTTTAGCCTACGATTGATGGTGCAATTTACTTTGTGGCAAAGGCGTGTATGAACAGTATATACATGCGTGTTTTAAGTAGTAATTTATGATATAATGCAAACAACTGCGTCTGATTTGCTGATAACATCAGCAAATGTACTTGGATAATTTCCCTAATATAGTTTAATTCTATGTACTTCTTCAGAAGTTAAAATTAAGATCCGTATGATATGCCTTAATTAGATAATAAAAACTAGTGAATATAGTACTTCTTTCACCTCCTATACGAAACCTATTTTTAAAATGAGTATTACAGCTGGAAGATTTTTGTTCCATTGTGACTGCTTTCTAAAGTAAACAGATATACAATAATAAAACTTAAAGAAAACATACTGGCTGGGGAATCCTGGGAGTAGAAGTTCACAGGTCTCTTAAGTTGCCAAGCACTAAGAAAAGCACTAAGATACAATCAAAAGTTTGTGAAATGCTGCTTTATAGTATTTATTAGACAGATTACAATATACTTCATTCTTGCGTATACTGCACAACCTCCTGCAAGGAAAATTGAACACCACATCTCCACTGAAAGCACCCCACCCCAAATCCCCTATGCATGGCCAGCCCACTTTCAAAGCTCGCCTCTGTCCATCTGGCATCTGTTCAGTTTTATCTTGCTCAGGAATGTAGGCAGGACTTAACAAGAAGGCTGAAAGAGTGTTGCACTAGCAGACAAGGGGCCTGTCTTACCTTCGAAGGAACTTGCTTGGAGGGGCTCTTGGCAAGGGAAGCAGTGTGGCCTCCTCCAGTAACAATATTCCCAGGTAAAGGGGCGAACTGTTTTAGTGTGCTCCCTTGTTACCTCTAGACAAAGCCTTTACCTTGTGGGAGGGGATGATTCTGTAGCTACATTTGGGTGCATTTCCATTTACTTTTGTGAAAAGATCTGAAAAGAGGCAAGAGGTTTTTTTTAATCACTCTTTTGTTTTAAGAGTAAGAAATGATCAGAGTTCACAGACTAATCCTCTTTTAAAAACCAGATGTTTTGCTTCAGAGAAGGCCTCTGTTATAAGGAAGCTGTTGCTAAGGCAAAATTCCTAAGCTTCCTCACTGCCATGTTTCATGTCTCTTTTTAATGTTATGACTTTTACAAAGGAGCTGTGTTGACAGTGGGTTTAGTAATATCCACGAAGTTTTTCTGATAATAGTGAAGTTGTGATGCTTGCATAAAAAGTGGAGTATAACAGAAACTGTTAGGAAAACACCTAAAATAAATTAAGACTTTCTACTGTTCTTTGTTTGGGGGGGGGGGATGTTTTTAACAATTATTAAGTCACCCAAAACTTCTGAAAGCAGCATACGCATTCATGTTATGGTAGATTGCACAATCCACCAGATGTAGATACTGTTTAATAAAAATATCATCACAGGATGTAAGCTGTTCCAAATAAGCCTGCCTTTTGCAATTGACTGATAGTAATTTTGTTAATACTGTTGATGTTCAAGTAGTGCTCCAGATGCTTTGGAAGTGCATCCTAGGTGCTTATTAATGTTGGTATCACTTTTGCATTCTTTTGCCACAGTTCTATTTCTATTTGCAGTTATTCTATTTCTATTACAATATGCTGTATCCTTGTATTTTGTAATTTTGTCCAGTTTTTATTTATTTATAATTTATATGACTACCTACAGTGATTCAGCAACTAAAAACCCATTCAACCACCCCACCGGAGCAGCAGCTTGAGGTCCCCAAGCCCACTGCCAATTCATGTTTTCAAAGCATTCCAGAAAAATAACAAGATGGGAGCCAGTCTTATCTTTGGTTGAGTGGTATTCCATTGACAGGAAGCCACCAATTTTTCTTGGTCCCACTGTGTGTAATGGATGGGACCCACAATTTTCTTTCTATTCCACTGTTTCCAGGTATTGCATTGTCTATTATTATGTAGATTCATAGTTTAATATTGATGGAAACTTAATAATTCAGATCTTAACCAAGAACCTGGGAATTATTGAGATAGCATCTAAGAATATAGGCAGTTCCAAGCAGCATGGCTCTTTAAAATTAGAGTGTTCTGTACTGAAATACTGGTAAATTCAGTATTTCCAGATATCAAGATAATCCTTTAGGTGTCATTCTGAGGGTTCCAATCACAACTGGATTTCTTTTCCATAAGCACCCAACTTCAATCTGCAAGTCCTGGTATTTCTTAATTTTATCCAATTGCTTCTCCTCAATTCTAGAATCACCAGGAATAGAAACATCAATGAAGCAGACTTTTTTCTTTTTAATAATTATCATATCAGGCATGTTACAAATAACTATAATGAATTATCTCTTTGGATCTTAAAATCCTGTAAGATCTTCACCCACTCATTTTCCAAAACCTTGACTGAATGGTCCTATTGCAACAGATTCCTCAACTTTTCACATGTGGATCAAATTAAGATTAAGATGCTTTAAAAGTTAATCCAACTTGTGCAAGAAGGAAGGGGAACTACATTTTTATATTAGACCACAAACACAGAAAAGTATAGCTAACTAACATTTCCAGTGAGAAATTATCCCACTATAAGAACGAATTGATTACAATAATGAGATATGCTTTGTTGTTTAATAGTGCAAGATTTATATAAGCAGTAGAATTTAAGTTCAGAATAGTCCTAATTTTGAAAGTCCTGCAAAACATATATCCTATCACTGGATATCACACGCCTCTACTTTGCATGGTAACTGTAAACTGTGCCAACCTCCTGCTCCATAGTCAATGTACATGCCATCCTTTTTTTCCATGAAAAACCAATTGAGCCAGTATCTAGTGTCTGCCAGGCCAAAAGTGTTTCCAAGGAAGTTATCTTTGTGTTCCATGTGTTCTTGCGCTATTTACTGTGGGTTGGGATGAGGGGGTAAAGGTCATGTATGACTAATGTTATTTGCTCAGTTGCTTTCTTCACACTAAAGTTCCGGTAATGGTGGCAGATCCTTTATTCCTACAGAGTCCAGGTGAGAATTTTTTTTTTTTTTTTAAAGCCTGTGGTTTCCAAAGTTAAATTTGTTAGACTTCCTATAGCAAAAGTTCATTTCCCAACTACTATACTGTATGCACCATATAACCAAGCAACACAATTATCTTCACCTGATTGCTTTAGCAACTTAGAAGGTACTTCAATTAAGAGTTATTATTTGGGTTTATTTAATAAAATAAAATACAGCCAGTACATCAGTGCTGGTGGAACTGACGAATTAAATCACGAGCATGAACATACCATGCATTTTCACAGGAGTGATCTGCAACTGTGTAGCCTTTCCAATGAATCAAGTACTGAATGCCTTTGCCTCTTTTCCTAAAGTGTAAGTCTCTTCCACCTTGTATTCTCGTTCTCCCTCTACTAAGACTGGCATTTGAGGATGTTGCTGGGATCTTATTGGGCTCAGGGAGACATCTTCAGAAAGTAATGCTTGGTAAAATACTGGCCTTCCCATTCGTGGCAAGCGGGTAAGCTGAGGAGAGGTTGATCTTGACATTTAGTAGCTGGAAAAGTGCTTTCCAAAATCTAGATTGGAATTGCATGCCTCTGTCTGACACAAGTTCTAATACCATGCCATGGTAGCAAAAGACATGGTCTAGAAAAAGTTAGGGTGTGTCTTTATCTTTGTGAGTAAGTCCTGGTGCAGTTGGGTAGCTTCCAGCCTCTCAGTGGTTGGTGGTGATTGATGAATCTGGGAATTGGAACATTGTAGGATTGTTGTTGGTTATGGGATCTTTTGAACAACAGAATATACTGGTTTGTGAGAGAACATATCTGGCATTAAGTTCTTGGAGCCTGGGATGCATTTATGTAGAAATCAAAACATAAGAAGAATTGACTCCATCCAACTTGTCTGGATGAAAGTGGCTTCGTTTGTTGCAATAGGTAGATTCTTGTAGTCAGTGTTGATCTCTATGGAAAACGTGCACCATCTAGGAAGAGTTTCCAGTGTTTGAATGCTGATGTAACAGCAAGGAGTTCTTTATTAAACATGTCATAATTGCATTGTGGGGCAGAGAGGATTCTGGAAAAGAAGGTGCATGGCAAAAGGCATAAAAGAGCTGCTTTAATTTTTCAAAGACTGATTGGTGTGTAGACACCCAAGTGAATTTAATTCTCCTCTTTGTCAGTTAGGTCAGTGGTTTGGCTCTGTGAGCAAAGCCTAGTATAAATTTCCTGTAGAAATTAGCAAAGCCCAGGAAACATTGGACATCTTTGGCTATGCAAGGGGCTTGCCAGTCTAGTACAACTTGGACTTTCTGGGGTCCGGAAATACAGTAGTCCAAGAAGTCTAGTTGTTGTAAATCAAAGGCACATTTTTCTGGCTTAGCAAAGAGGTGGTTATCTCTTAGTCTACCGAGGAGCGTGTGCACATGGTCTGTATGCTGAGCCTCATTCTCAGAGTAAATTAAAATATTATTCAAATATAAGACGATAAATTTATCTTGAAAAACTTGGTTCATGAATCTAGAAAAGATGGCCAGGATATTGCACAGACCAAGAGACATCACTTTATATTCAAATTTGCTGTATCTGGTGTCAAAGGCAAATTAAGTATTCATGGCTTTCTTTTATTAGAATAAGGTAAGCATTGTGGGTGTCTAATCTTGTAAAATGCTTGCTTTCAACAGTCTATCTAATAGGTCTGAAATTAATGGCCGTGAATAACAGTCTCTTACTGTGACTGCATTTAAAGCCTTGTAATCATGGACTGCCCTCAGTTGCGGAGGGTATCACTGTTGTTAGGCCCACTGGGATCTTGCTTTTTGAATATGAAGAAGGTGGAAGCTGAGGCAAGCAACTGGGGGGTGGGGAGGTCATATGAATCCCTTTTGCAAATTACATCACAAATATTATTTTAAAGCTTCTAATTCTGTAGTAGACGTTTGGAATTGTCTCTTGGTAGGAATTTTGACACCAGGGACCAGGTTTATGATGCAATCACAATCTCTGCACGGAGAGAGGGCTGAGGCTTCTTCCTCCCCAAACCATCAGCAAAGTCTGTATATATACTTGTCAAATTGGGAAACTCTCTGTGAACCATTGGAGGAGGGTTGGCGGGGGAGGCTTTGGAGGGCCGATCACAGTGAGAAAGGCATTCAGCATTTTCAAGGGCAATAAATTTTTTTTTCCACTTAATATTGGGGTCATGGTCTTGTAACCAAATGTTCCCAGCACTAGTGGAAGATCGATATGTTCCGCTACAAAGAGAGTTAACTCTTCATGCTGATTTACAGCTAATCTTCAACTTTTGACCACAATTGAGCCTAAAATTTATGTTGTTAAGTATTTGTTAAGTGAGTTTTGCCCCATTTTACAACTTTTCTTACCACATTTGTTGAGTGAATCTAGTTTCCCCATTGACTTCGCTTGTCAGAAGATCTCAAAAGGGGATCACATCACTCCAGGACACTGCAACTGTCATAAATGTGAAGGACTTGTCAAGCATCTGAATGTAAATCATATAACCGTGGGGATGCTGCAATGGTCATAAGTGTGAAAAATAGTCATGTCACTTTTTTCAGTGCCGTTGTAACTTCAAACTGTCACTAAATGAACTGTTGTGAGTCAAAGAGTACCTGCATTGTTAACTTCAAAGGCACTGTGGCATGAGTAATTGGTCCAGCTTTTGAAATTTGGCCATCAATAGTTAGCAGTAAAAGAAGATTATTCAGCCTGCCCTTGAAGGACTACGTCATTCCATACATCCTTGAAATAATGATCTAGTTCTCACCTGCTAGAAGTGTTTATATAATTTTCCCAGAACTGCCTAATTTGTGAAGTGGAAACCATGGCAACAGGGAAAGTCTGTTTTGAAATTTGAAAGAACTGGAGGTAGTTTGGCAAAACATCCTCGTAAACTAGTTAAGTGCTCATTAGAGATCCCAATTTCCACTTTTGGCATCTCCAGTTGATAGATGTATTTTATATCCCAACACATAAAAAGGAGAATCTCTTGGCTGGGCTGTTACTTCCAGGCAGAACCAGTAATGATAAAGGGATAAGAGATATTTGTTGGGATACTGTTGGTACTGGGAAAGGTGATAGCTTTCGCATCTACTGAAAAGGTATGTGGAAAAAGTGATTTAGGATAGAGACTCTTCAATAGACACATATACATCATTCATTTCATTGAAACCTTTCTTCAGTCAGTCTACCATGATAGTGGATTCAAAGGATGTCCCAAAGGTGCTTTTTCAGGAGATAACTGGACTTTTTGGTTTTTCTTTGAAGACATTTCGCTTCTTATCTAAGAAGCTTCCCCAGCTCTGAGTGGATGGTGGGGAATAAAAGGATTTATACTCCTTGAATACAGGTGGTCATTTGCATTCTTTTAGAGAGTCATTGAGGCCACTTGGAGGTTTATCTATGTCAGATGTATTCAACAGGTTCTGACCAGTTCTGGAGAACCGGTAACGGAAATTTTGAGTAGTTCGAGAACCGGCAAATTCCACTTCTGACTGGAGATTTACAGTATCCTTCTCCTGCCACGCCCACCAAGCCACACCCACAGAACTGGTAGTAAAAATTTTTGAATCCCACCACTGATCTGTGTCATCACAGTCACCTGAGTAGTGCAAATGGGTGTGGGCTTTCTTAGAACTGTTGAAAGGACTGTGTTGTAGACTGGGGGTAGATAATGTCATATCTCTCCCCCTCTGTGGAGGGAAGGTTGTTCAATTTTGACATAGATGGCCTCTTTGACCTCTCTTTCAAACCAGCAGTTCTCTCTGTCCAAAATGTGGACTTTGCTGTCTTCAAAAGAGTGGCCTTTGTCTTTTGAATCTTGTCCTGGACTGCTGAATCCTGTCCTGATGGGTTTGTTCTGCTATGTTGTGCCATGCATTTATGAAGTGGTTCTTTTGTTTTCCCAATGTACAGATCTGCACATGGCTCACTGCATTGTACTGCATATACCATGTTACTCAGTTTGCTTCTGAGTATTTTATCGTTGGAGTGGACAAGCTTCTGACAGTGTATTTTTGGATTTGAAGTGTGCACGTATTATGTTTTGGCTGAAGATCCTCCTGAGCTTTCCAGTATTGCTGCAATGTATGGAATGTTGATGTTGCTTCATTTATTGTTCTCTTTGTGTCTGTTATGGAGGAGCTTCTGTAGCATCTTTTTGAGATTTGATGAAAGCCCACATGGAATAGTTACATGTTCTGAGGGCTCCCTTGATGTATTTTTAGTTCTTTTTCTGGTATAGGATTCTGATGACTCCCATTTTGTGCTCCAGTGGGTAGTGAGAATCAAAATATAAATACTGATCTGTGTGTGTGTGTGTGTGGGGGGTGTTTTCTATAAACTTCATTGCTAAGGTTTCTGTCTTCCTTAATGTGTGCTGCACAGTTCAGGCCAGCTAGACTATTTCCCTTAACATTTTCCCATGTGAATTTGATATATCAGTCCACAGAGTTGATATGTTTGAGGAATGCTTCCAATTCCTGTGTTTTGATCTTGACCCAAGTATCATTCACATGCCTATACCAGTGAATGGGTGGAATTCCTGTGAAGGAGTCTAGGGCTTTGGTTTCTACCTTTTCCATGTAGAGATTGGCTACAAGGGGGGCAACGGTAAACCCATGGCGCAGCAGCTATTTTTGTCTATAGAAATCTTCATTGTATTTGTTATATATTTATTATTATAAATGATCAGCTGTCTGAAAGGAGTATAAATTCGTCCATTCCCCACCATCCAGTCAGAGCTTCTTGGTTGAGAAGCAAAATGTCTTCAAAGAAAAACCAGAAAGTCTAGATGCCTCTTGAAAAAGCACCTTTGGGACATCCTTTGAATCCACTATCATGGGACCACCATGACCTTGATGACTGAGAATCTCCATAGACATTGCTCAAAGGATAGGACAGTTAACAAAACAGATAACAAAATAACAGTGTTTGAAGGAACTTGAAGGTCTTCTAGTCCAATCCTCTCCGCTCATGCAGAAGATCCTGTACCATTTCAGACAAATGGCTGCCCAATCTCTTTTTAAAATCCTCCAGTGATGGAGTACCCACAACTTCTGAAGGCAAGCCATCCCACTGGTTTATTGTTCTGACAGTCAGGAAATTTTTCCTCAGTTTTAAGTTCTGCTTTCCTTGATTAATTTCCATCCATTGCTTCTTTTCTTGCCTTGTGGTACTTTGGAAAATAGGTTGATCCCTTCTTCTTTGTGTCAGCCTCTCAAATATTGGAACACTGCTATCATGTCACCCTAGTCCTTCTTTTCACTAGACTACATATACCCTATCCAGCAACCATTCTTTATATGTTTTAGCCTCCAGCTCCATAATCGTCTTTGTTTTTTGTTTTTTTTTTTGCTCTTTTTTGCATACCTTTTCTGCTATGATACCCACTTATGGAAAATTCTTCTCCTCTAAATTAGATCAGTTCCATACCTTTTGTTATTCCAAATGGCCCTCAAGATCTGATTGTCTGTGGCTTCCATGGAACCAAAGATGTATTTAGATGGCTCCATTGCTGAGGTGCCATTTTTATCCTGGATTCGGCTTTTTAATCATATTTGTCAGTTTCCAAAGCTTCTTGAGTTGTTTTCCCCTTTAAGGTTTTCATCCTTGGTATCCTTCCCAAGTTCTCTCTAAATTTGTTGAAATCAGCTCTTTTAAAGTCTAAGACATTAGTTTGATTATGTACTATTGCTTGTGTCTGCATGATATTGAATTGTAATATGGCCTGGTCACTCTCCCCCAAAATTCTTGCCGTTCAACCCCTTCTATCATTTCTTCTTTGTTAGTAAGAATTAGGCCCAGTATACCCATCCCTCTGGTTCCTTCCTCTACCTTTTATATGAAAAGTTGTTAGCTAGGATAGTCAGAAATCTGATTGATCTCCTACTTGATGTAGAGTTTGTCTCCCACTTGATATCGAAGTAGCTAATGTCTTCTATTACTACTGTGCTGTGTTTCTCACATACATTTGTTAACTCATTAGCAAACAGTTCATATATTTCTTCTGTTTGGTTGGATGGATTGTAGTATATGACAATGTTATCTTTTTTTTCTTTTATATTGACCCATATGCATTCTAGGTTTCATCCGTGGTTTATGCATTTCTGTAGAGATTACATATAATGCAATTTCACCTCTTCTTTTGTTAGGTCTGATTCTTTTGAACAATTTATATCTTTCCATCAGTACATTCCAGTCATGAATTTTATCACACCAAGTTATCCCATCAGTTTGGGGGCAATTGGTTTGTTCCCCATATACCTACTCATAAGCTGCTTCTTAACTATTCCAGCACTTTAAAGCCAACAGGTGTTCATATTTACTTTTACTAACTTTCAAATGGTGAAAAAAGAATACTACAGTAAATTAGTACTTATCTGCAACTTTGTTGCCTGAACACACAGCCTCATGTTAGCAGCTCTAACCCCTGCTTCTAAGATATGGGATGAAAGGGAAGAGATAACCATCTTTTTACTATTCTGTCCTGTACAAAGACAGATAGATAAACTCCACAAAGCATCCATACAAAGTCTTTTTTATTGGTTCATCAGGCATCCTCAATAACTACAGTTATGATGAGATTCTTCTTAATGTCCAATCCTTTGCATATCTGTTTTTATGGGTAAAAAGATGGTTATCTCTTTCATCCCATATCGTAGAAGTAGGGGGTAGAGATGCTACCATGAGGCTGTGTTCAGGCAAGAGAGAAGTAACCTCCCCCAACCCACCAAGGGTCAATTCAGTGACCAATCAGGGTTATAGATGTGGCCACATGACATGAACTAGATGTCCCAGGATACTTAACTACATTTACCATGATGCATTCCCTTAAGGGGACAGCTCTCAATTCCTAACTAACTATCCCAAATCCCATTAACTCTAAACTGTCTGGACAGCACAGAGGGAAATAATTGTTTTAAAAAGTGTTACGGTTTTTAAACCTGGCTAGCTGACTGACATAAGGGTAGGATATTGAAACTCAGAAGCAAGAGGTGAGTTAAAGCAAGAAAAACAAACCAATAGAAAAAAAAACAATTTCAGAAAAACTATCATAGAACCAAGGAGGGAAAAGGCTCAGCTCTCAAACACAAGTGACACAGTGGGAAACTGCAGGAATGCTTGGCTTTGGAACGCATTCTAAACTGACACAATGAGGTTGGGCAAAGGTGTCCTAAAAGCAATGAAAAAAGCAATACAGAAAGAAAATATTAGACTGCAATCTGCCAAAGAATTATTTCATTGGAAAGACATTTTAACTGTAAAACATGATGGATCAGATGAGCCATGATTTCATTTTGCTAAGCACATACTTAAGGAAGATTGCATACTACATTAATTGAAGTATTACCAAATATTGTTGAAAAAAATCTGACAAAGGTATATAATACTTCAATTAATCATAAAGATAGTCAAAGAAAGGAACGGATCATTTGACAAATGCTAGCAAGAATAAGTGAAGATGGACACAATATAGATATTTGGATCTATGAGTAGATTGCCCAACATTTCAACATATTAGCAAGAATTTAAATCCCTATTGTTCAAAAAGCAACTTTATAATGCTTGAGAAAAAAGTTAGTGTGATCCGTGTTATTGTTTGGAGAGACTGTGAACTCTGTTCAATACTTATTCAAATTGCTTGACAAAGAATTCTTCTGAAAGCCAAACATTTCATTATTCCTGGTATATTTAACCAGCAAGACTTCATTTTATTCAGTTTTAATTCAGGTAGAAGTGTTTCTGAAGACATCTTGCTGTTGAACTGTCCATTCATTCCCTGAGGTCACCAGGAGCATCAATGGAGACAGTTGTGATTGTAGCCATTGGGGTATTGGCAACCATCTTCCTGGCTTCTTTTGTGGCTCTGGTTGTGGTATGTAGGCAGCGTTACTGCCGACTCAAGGACTTTTTGAATCATTATGATACCAGGTGAGATTATTTTTCAACTGTGGATTCTAGTAATTCATTCACTCTCCTGGGATGTTTTGGGACAACAATTTCCAGATTTTGAAACCAGGATCACCAAAATTAAGGAGTCGAGGCACTGAAGGCACAACACATCTGAAGGATTCCAAAATGGGAATGTCTAATCTATGACTTTTGTTAATAATAAATGACAGTCAATTAAGAGTTCTATGAGTCAGTTTTGATCTCAAAACATGCTGAATTTATTGGTCCAAAGTAAGTTTAATTAGCGGTGTTTTGATACACACAATGCCTTAGATTTCTTTTGTGCTTCCTCCGAGGCCTATTGTTGACCTAATTGGCACGATGGAGACACAGTCTGAACCTTCTGAATTGGAGATGGATGATGTGGTAATAACAAACCCACATATTGAAGCAATCCTGGCAAATGAGGACTGGATTGATGATGCTTCGTAAGTTGGGCAGCAATGCCTTCCAGGCAGCATAATCTGGAAGGGATTGTTTTTCTTCTGCTGTATGCAATTTGGGACAAAATGGGACCAGAGAATAAAGTCCAAAAATCTCTTCAAGTTCTTCTCTTTAAATGTTTAGTACAGAAGTATTACATTGAAAAGGATTAATAGTCAAGTATTTGACAAATATAGCTGAACCAAACTCACACTTTTTCACCTATTTTTAAAGCAATGTTAGTGGGGAGAAGAAACTGCATAGGAGTTAGCTTTTGAAAATACCGTTATCCAACAATCTTTGTTTTTAGCATTCAGCTAAAAACTTAATACTTTCCTTTCATTATCTCAGATGTAAGAACCAAATTATTCAATACTCGCAACACAGGAACAGGTCTGGTTCACAATTCAAAGGTTTATTAAAGAAAATAAGTATTTGCAAACCGGCCTTCAAGTCCCTTCCAAAGTGAATTGGGGTACAAGAAGAGCAAACTTCTATATTCAAGCAATACATTTTATACCCCTGCACAGAATACACCACGCCTAAGAGGCCCTTTCCATACACCCCTTATTCTCTATATTCTAAAATGAGATAAACTATAAGTTTGAGAGTCAGCAAGGCATTGTTTTCAGTGTTTCAGTGTCTTATCTTGGTTTTACTGTTGGGCTTTACCTTGGGAGGATATTACCTTGTTGCCTAGCCTGGATAGATCTTCACGTTCTCCAAGAAGATTATAATAATGTATCATGTACTTGTGACTGAACATATTTTAGGTTATAGGCTGGGGGTTTTATGCAGAAAAAGAAAAAGCTAACAGAAAAGCATCAGAAAGAGCAAAAGAGAATCTTCTAGTCTAACTATATAAATTCCATTATAAAAGAGTAACTTATAATTTTTCTCTCAATTATGACCACCATTAACCTTAAACATCCATTTTGCCTCCATACTAGAACTAGGCCCTTCCTGGCAGATTCTGTTTTCTAATTACGTCTGCCACATAGGTTTTTTGCTTCCCCTCAAAATCCACTAGTAGTTGCTATCTCTGTCCTTCCATGCTAACATTTTGCATGGTCTTATCTCATCTGATACCCCTTTCCTTTGTCTGAGAATGCTGACAATTGCAGGCCCTGTACTTCCAATGCATCTTATCTTTGAAATATTAGTTTAAATGAAATAACGAAGAGTGATTTGGAGGTAAGACTAGACAAACCTAATTCTAACTTATTACTTATTTGTGTAAAATATTGGTATGAATTTCATTACTGTTAAAAAAAAAAGGTCATATCTTTGCACCTTAACATATATGTATCAAGGTTCCGACTGACGAACCCAAACGAGTCAGCACTCCAAGACTTTCAGTTTCCTCAGAGAACGGCTTTATTGAGTACATCATTTCAGTACGGATGATCTTAAAACCAGCTCTGGCTATTTCCCATGCTTTCAATACAATTAAAAATTAGACAGCCCCCTCCCTCTTTGTCACAGGTCACATTTTCCAATTAGGTGTTCTAGCATCTCCTTAGTAGTTAAATGTTCTGGTGTCTCTTTCCAATCTCTGGCCAGTACCTGCAATGATGACCTTGGTTCACACGAGATAGGAGTTGTTGATGTCTGGTTTGACATTCCAAAGCTCCCTCCTCCCTCCAAAGTGTGTCAAGCTCTGTGAGAAAGGAGAAAATTGGCTGTGACTGGCCCAATTCATTCCAAAGTTAACAAGGTGGATTTTACATGTGTATAATAGCAATAGCACTTAGATTTATATGCACTTAACAGTGCTTTACAGCCCTCTCTAAGCAGTTTACAGATTCAACATGTTGCCCCCCAACAATCTGGGTTTTCATTTTACCGACCTCAGAAAGATGGAAGGCTGAGTCAACTTTGAACTGGTGATAAATTGCTGAACTGCTGGCCATTGGCAGTCAGCAGAATTAGCCTGCACTACTGCATTCTAACCACTGTGCCTCTATACCACCAAGGTAATCAATGCATTCTTAAAAGAGAAAAAAAAAATCTATGCTTCATGCCAGTTTCTTTTCACTCTTCAAATCACTGGCTGCAGAATGTGCATTGGTTAATCAGTTCTTGAAGGGAAACTTGTCAACAACTTTGGATGACAAGAGCCAAATTATTCAAGTGAGCTGAGAACAAAATGTCCTGCTCAGTAATAGAAGATCTTGTGTCTGAATGAAGACCTGAAAACTGAAGACCAGAAAATCATGGAAGAGTCCAAAGACTTTTGGTGAAATGCTTCTCTAATTTGCTGCTATTTTCTTTTTCCTTAGGGGCCTGGTCTCTCACTGCATTGCTATCCTAAAGGTACATTTCTTTTTTTTTCTTCAAAAATCATAATGTGAAGATAGAAGGTGCATGGAAGTACATGTAAGTTACATGTAAGTAGCATACTCCTACATAACACTCATTTATCTTACTTTCTGAACAGATCTGCCACACTCTCACCGAGAAGCTTGTTGCCATGACAATGGGGTCAGGAGCTCAAATGAAGTACCCAGCAAGCCTGAATGACATTATTGTGGTAGCCAAACGAATCAGCCCAAGGTGCGAGTTATAGAGAACTTATGGGGAACAGGACTCTGGAGTGGTTTGAGAAAGAAAGGTCCATTTTAGCCTGAACAAAAGGTGGGATACAAACCAAATGAATAAATAGAAGGGAGGATGTACAGAACATTATTATGGGATTGTTTAAACAATTTACTTCTTTATGAAAAGGACTGTTTCAACTGGTCATACTTTGGGGATGGGGATTCTTCCAGTTGCCCTCATTGTTCTTTGCCCTCTCTGTTTTTAATGCCCTTGGATTTGCAGGATAGAAGAGGAAGGTTTTAGAGAAGGGGATAAGGTTTTAGAGAAGGGGAAACTGGGCTGGAATTCTGTTCAAGATGCTAAATGTATCTGGGTATATCACAGGAGTATAAGAAGGAAATGCAGCGGGATACCTCAATGTTCTGTCTTGGGTACAATGCTCTCAAGCATCATAAATTACCTTGGTGACACAAGTAGATGTGGATGACACAAACCTGGGTGGGGGAGATGTTAACATTTCGGAACACAGACTCAAGATTCACAAGGATCTTGACAGACTTTGAGCTTTGGTCCCTATCCAACAAGAGCAATTCATTGGTGAGAAAAGTAAGGTCCTGCACTTAGGCAGGAAAAACCAAATACACAGAGAATAGTATAGATGGGACCTAACTCAACAGTAGTACTTGAGAAAGGGATCTAAGTGTCCTGATGGACCATTGCTTAAGTAAGAGCCAGGAATGTGCTGAAGGTTCCAAAACGGCCAATGCCGTCTGACTGCATCAACAGAGGAAAAGCATCATGATCACAGGAAGATCTGATAGTACTATACTATACTGTAGAGATGAGGCCACACGTGAATACTATGCCTAATTCTACTCGCCACAATACAAAAATGATGTTAAGACCCCAGAAAGAGTATAGAGAAGAGTAACAAAGATGATAACGGGTCTGAGGCCTAAATCATACAGTGAATGGCTAGGGAAACTAGGTATGTTTAGCCTAAAGAAGAGAAGGTTTAAGTGTGATGTAATAGCCATCTCCCAATACTTGAAGAACTGTCACAAGGAAGAGTCAGTCAGTTTATTCTCCATAGTACCTGAGGGCAGGATAGTTTATATTTCACAGCACCTGAGGCAAAGCAATGGATGGAAGCTTGTCAGAAGGTGATCCAACCTGGAATTAAGGAAGAATTTTCTGCCAGAAAATTAATCAATTGGAACAGTTTATCTCTCAGAGTTGCAGGTGCTCCATTGCTGGAGGTTTTTGGGAAGATTGGGCAATCATTTTTCCTGCTTGAGGATCCTGCCTTGGGCAGCGGGGTTGGACTAGGTGACCCCCAAGATCCCTTCCTACCCCATGTTTCTATGGGTTTAAGATGCAGTGAGATATTTATCTTTCTATCTCTCTGTGTCAGGTGCAAGCAACTAGATCCACATATGAAGGATTCAGGTTGACTATTTTATTGTGTTCTACAAAAACTGATTGTCTGGCTAGGAACTTTACAACACCTTCATTTTATCAGCTTAACCTTAACAACATTTGCCTGAGACATAAGGTCTACCCTCTATATGGAAGTAGGCAAAGATGATCCTGGTAATGTATGTCCTCACTAACAGTAGGATAACAATCTTTGGTGCACTTTGTCACACTAAGCTAATATACGGAATGCAAGAAAGACACGCTGAGGAATATTTCGTAAATTCAACAGGAGCAGAGGGAGCAAGCTGTGCTGCTCCCCTGCCATCCCGCTTATACTGGACAGGCAGAGAAGGGAAGGGATAAGTGGATGGATAGATGAGCAGACAGATGCATAGCAGTTTTTATTTCACTTCCTTAATGTGTACATTGTTTAATTACAACTAGCCATCTTTGTTTTCCTCATAGGGTAGATGATGTGGTTCGATCTATGTATCCACCACTGGACCCCAAACTGTTAGATGCTAGGTGAGTAGGCATTGCTTGGGATGGAAGGTGTGATACCTATACATTATTTTAGAGAACAGAGGGCCTCTGTTTGCATTGTATAATCAACCTTCCTGAGCCATCTTTTTCTTTACGACAAATTTAAATTCTAATTATGTTTTGAGAAAAAACAAAAACAAAGAGAAGGGACATGCTATCTTCTCCAAACAGACCTACAACTCATGCTTCTTTTTGAAATGATCACTCATGAGAAAAATGATAGATGTCTGCCTTACTTTCTAACTATATAATCTAGAAAACAGTATATTTCTTGGAGAAATGTTCCCTTGCTGTCACTCCCACATTTTAGGATGTCTGCATATGTGGTCCTTCGGGAGTTCTTCATCAAGTTCCTTTTGGAATGTATTTCAACATGTCTCATCGCCTTTGGAAAGGCTTCCCTTAATCAGTGCAATCTTTTTTTAAATAGAATTTTATTTTTAAGTATAAATTTTTAAGTTTTAAAAACAAGAGTAAAAGTCAATGCAAACTAAAATAAAGAAAGGGAAAAAGAAGAAACAAAAGAGAAAACTAAAGTAAACAAAGAAAAAAGGCAGAAGAAAAATAGAAAAGAAAAAGATATTAAGAATTGGTTTCCAATCTTCTTTACAGGAATCATAACTACAGCTATAAATTTATCTCTCTCTCTAAAGTTAGCTTGTCATTCTCTTCTTTCTATAATCTATTCTGTCTAATCATCAAAACCAGGTCATAAGTTTTTTTTTTTTTACACTAAAAGTTGATGAAGAGTTTCAGTTCAGAAATAAATATTCAGATAGTGTCTTTTCTCTAATCAAGCAAGTCAATTTGACTATCTCAGCAAATTCTATCATCTTCGTCAACCACTTTTCCATTGTAGGTATTTCCAAATCTTTCCATTATTTGCATACAAATCTTGCTATGGTTATTCTATGCAAAAACAAAGACTCATAATTTTTCCCAACAGTTATCCGTTAGTCCAAAGAGAAAAACGTTAGGTCTCAATTATACACTAATTTTCAAAATCCTCTGAATCAGTATATGTACCGTATGTGAATCCAATTTTTTTTTTAGCTTTTTACATGTCCATAAAAAAATTACCCTTCTTGCTGTTCACATTTCCAATATAAATTTGAAATGCCTTATACATGCTAGACAATTCTTCAGGTGTCACATACCAATGGTACATCATTTTATAAAAGTTCTCTTTAAGATTATAACATAGTGTAAATATTAATTTCTTCAACATTTTCCCATTGTTCCATTTGTATATTATAATAAAACTTTTTAGCCCATTTTAACATACATTCTTTCACTTGTTCTTCCTCTTTCATATTCCAATAAAGGTCTACATATTTTAGCAATCATATTTTCATCTTTGGACCCAATTCTATTTCAAACAGAACATTCAGTACCATACATTATTTTAGCTACCTTTGAATCTTTCTGATTAATCATAAAAAGGAAAACTATTGACAATTAGGTCCCTGTGTCATAAGTTTTTCTTTAAATTTAATTTTGTATTTCCTTTGACAGAATTTTATTATCTCACACTATGTTAACCATTTGTGTTTGCCTATTATTTCTCAGCATAAGTAAAATACTTATTTTATGTTTTTGGGTGCAACCTGGATTTGTATCTATTCCATACTCTCAATATGGCACATCTAATAGTGATTTTTAAAACTGACATTAAACTTAACTTTATCATACAACGAATATTCGCACCACTCAAATCTAGGTCATGTCCTTTTAATTCTAAAGGTGTTCTATTTCTCAACACCCATCCAAATAGTAAACTGCAAATTACAATATCAAATAACATAAACCTAATCCTTCTCTTTCCTTTGCTTCTTGAGACAACTTAATGTAAGTCTTGTTTCCCTTGACATGCAAACTCAGATGTATCCTTTTGCCAGTTTAAAATAGTACATCAGTTGTCAAAAATAGTACTGTCTGTAACAAAAATATCATTCTAGGCAAAATATTTTTATCACAGAAATTCTCTCCGACAATGTAATTTCTCCTATCTTATCATTTTTAACTTCATTTCATATTTTAACATATTCATCAATCCATCTTGTTTTAGGCTGCTTTCGTGGGTGCTTTTTATTAAATGGAATGGAATCCATTCTATCACCACCTTTGACTACCTGCCATCAATTCTTCTTACCAGTCCATTTGCATTTCAGTTCTTTTACTCTATTGATAATATTGTATACTTTCATTTGTCACAATCGATACAAGGCTACAAGTAGCATGGAAAGATACATGCTCAGCATTACAATAGAAAGCCATGATAGAAAGATCTGTCCATGGATTAGAGAATTTGCTATTAAGTCATATGAAATAATAATTCATGAAAGCTTTGCTTGCATCCCAAATCATTCTTACCTTTATTAAGATTATTTTCAAAAACCTCTTTGAATTTATTTTTACAACCCTCCACTATTGTTTCTTTTCCTAACGGTAGTTCATTTAATTTCCATCTAAAAAAAATGGATTTCCATTTAGAAACCAACTTCACTTTATTATGATCCGGAAGAGATCTTTCCTGATATCCTTACTTTATGAGCCTTACGTCATCAGCCTTACATTTTACATTTTACACCATTTTTCAGTGTTTTCATTTTTCATGAGCAAAGAGCTCTTCCCGTTTGACTGGCTTGTGGAGATTGCGCTGCAAACTAGTTTTTTTTTCTTCTTCCGTTCAATCTTGCCTGCTTTCCTGTGAGTTTGGTGAGTTTTTTCAGAAGTGGTTTGCAGTTGCTTCCTTGATTAGTGCAAGATCACCCAGCTAGCTTTGTATCTAAAGTTGGACTAGAATTCAGCTTCTCAATTTCCAGCCTGAAGCCTTAACATCAAACTGGCTCTGTGCAAAAGTGCTAGAGCTGCATTAAAAATGTAATCATATTAATGTTAAATAGTCACTTAGAATCAGACAGCATCAAACTGAATAAACAAATACTGTAATTAAATATTAATATTACAATATCTTTCACTTTAACAAATTGAACACACGCCCATGCGCGTCTTAAATACAAAAAAAAAAAGTTGAAAAGGGCTTCTTGGCGGCGGGGTAGGAAGGGCGGGGCTTCGCTCATCAGCCCCGCCCCAATTCCCGTTTCTTTTGCAGGACGACGGCGCTGCTGCTCTCGGTGAGTCACTTGGTGCTGATCACGCGGCATGCCTGCCAGTTCCCCAGCCGCATGGACTGGATCGACCAATCCTTGTCCGCGGCGGAGGAGCACGTGAGCGTGCTGCGCGAGGCAGCCCTGGCTTCGGAGGCGGAGCGAGTTCCTTCTGGGTCGGAAGGCTTTCTGCATGAGCAGTCTACAATTTGAGAGCAAGGGGAAGAGGGGAGGGGGCGCGTTGTCGTAAATGGCTCTGGGCTTCCTCTTTTTCGTTGAGTATTGAGCAGCGCTGATGATTTGGCACAATGTCTGTTATCCTGAGGATGATAGAAGCGCCACCTCCACTGTTCTAGTCTTTCATCTGGATTAGTGACCCTGAGATATACTCGTGCTGGAGGGGTAGAACTGGGAAGGAGGACATAGTGTTAATGTTAGTACTTTTTGTCAGCAATCAGAAATATTTTGACTGTGGCGCTTGTTGTTAATTATAGTTAACAGCCAAGAAAAAAAGGAGGGAGTTTTATATAGATAGACCTCGATTTAAGATCACAATTGAGCCCAAAATTTATGTTGTTAAGCAAAGCAGATGTTAGATGTCTTTCTCCCTTTTGCGATTTTTCTTGCCACACTTAAGCAAATCACTGAAGGTGTTAAATTTGTAATATAGTTGTTAAGTGAACCTGACTTCCCCGTTGACTTGACTTATCAGAATATTGTAAAAGATAATTACTAGGACACTGCCATGCAGTCCCCATAAATACATGCCAGTTGCAAAATGTCCAAATTTTGATCATGTGATCATGGGGCTGTTGCAATTGTTAAGTGTGAAAAATGCCACTTTTTCCAGCGCTGTTGTGACTTAATGGTCACTAAACAAATGGTTGTAAGTCAAGGACTACTTGTACCAAAACTCTTGTGGGTAATTAAGTGACAGTGGCCCATGATTACAGTAAGGACCCCTGGCCCTTGGCGTCTTTGATAGTAATTCCCCTACCCATTACCTACCTGATTCGGAAACACTTTCAAGTTTCTGCAAAACTAATTCTACAGTTCTTTGGATTCTAACTCATGTTTTCTTTCTATATGAAAATAATGTGTACAGTGTAAATTGGGAGATTGTAGAGGAATTAGCAGCTGATTGAGTCAGTAAATTCCTCTTGAACAACTGCAGGTTGAACTTGAAACCATTCAGATGTATATAGAGAGAGTTTTCCCTCTCATTCAGATTTTTGTAATAAATAGTCCTTTCCATGTATTCAATATCTCTTATTGCTAATATTAATGTATGACAAAAACCTCTTATGAAGTTATATCTGAATGTTAGCTAACATCTATTGTTCATCCAAGTATTTCCAGACTGGGTCGTTTCCTGGTTTGCCTTTTGCACAGATTTTTGTTTACATCTATATTACCCATTATCATTACCACTTTCATGTAAACGTAATAAAAATTTCAGTTTCAACCATTTCAGTTTGAAAAGGAAGCATTTATTGACCAAGTTGAATCTTATTTGCTTAGGCTGTTCACAGAAATCAGCAGCATTACTGAAAGAAAATACACATACATGCAATACAGATAATAAAATCATTCACTTTTGACAAGAATCTGTCTTCTCTAACCTTTAACCTTCCAGATGTACTAAGCTACAACTTCCATAACTCTTAAGCCACAATTCTGCTTCATTACAAAATAACTGCTAGAATAATTGCAGCACGATCTTAAAATTAACTACCGTATATAAAATAATGCATTCCAGAGTGCATAATTGCAGAATTCTGCTGAAAACAATCACATTTTCTGCCACACACAAGCATATATTGCTTAGATATTATTTTCCTATAACCTTCAAAAACTGTATCAAGCTATACTTTGCTGAGTTCATATTTGCAGAGTTGTGCCAACATTTGGAGAAATAATTGAAACGCTAGTTGTTCCCATTTATAGAAATTGGCAACACTGTTAACATTACTTTTGAAAACATTCAGTAGTCTCTCAGAAAAGACATAGACTCAACATACAGTCAACAAATGTAATGTTGATAATTGTGTTTTGGTTTTTTTTGCCAATTCAAGGATAGGACTTTCATTCAGCAGTGGTAAGACCCTGATGTAACTTGTTAATGGCCACTTCAACTTCCAAAAGGGAAAAATATTTGGAGAATCTTAAATGACATTGTCTGACGTTTACATTACCATCATATACATTATCATGTATATCTGAATCAACTATTTCCCTATATATGTTATCTGTTCATATTAGAAGATGCATTTCAATGAAACTGCTATAAACCAATAATCTCAATTCTGTTGTTTTTGTTTTGTGTTTTACTACACCATTCCCTCTTCCCATGGAAATAAATTAGTGGCATAGTCCAGTAGGTTCCATGATATGACAGTGATGTTGATGAGAAGATAAATGCTTGTAGGGTCATTCCTGCTGCTAAGGTCAACAGAGGAAGGGAATAGTGAGAATTATCCTGTTGAAAGAAATATCTTTCTGGGTTCAGTTCCAAGTGGGGAAAAAGAACTGGAAACATGGAGGCTATTTGGAAAGATGGTTTAATGGTGGACAGCAGGACCACATGGCTTGGAGCTCCAAAGTGAAAAAGAAAGGATGATCACATACTTCAAGGTGAGAAGGGAAGGTCAAGAAGGAAAGACCAAGATGCTGAGAGACCCTTATATAACCTCTGTTGGGCCCTACCTTAGTGTTTCCTATTCCTGTGTAAGAAATATATCCCATTGGCTGTCAGACTCTTGGCGGGGCGAGGGGGTGTCTTAGCTAACTTTGTAGGCTTTGTCTGGACCACATGGCTTCACCTGAGTGTTGGCTGATACAATCTTCCCAGGCCAGGTGGTAAGATAGGTAGATCCTTTATTATGTAGAATACTCTGGCCTAGGCCTTAATGGCCCCTTAGCAAAGGTGGGGGGGGTCTGAATTTCTGCTTTTCTGAGTTTCTACTTTACTCTTTAGGGGAAATATTCTGCCTTTTTAATATTTCCCAGGATATTTCATTTTTCTAGGAGAGGGGTGGGTGCTAACTTCCTACAATCCAAAAGTGAAGACAGGTGAAACTGTACAGGTATAAGCTTACCAAAAATCAAAGCTTGAAGAAAATAATGACATGTAAGTGCTCTGTTTTTGCCAAGAAAACTAGACTGTTGTAACCTTTAGATGAATCTAGATGGCAACTCATCCAGAATGTGCCTCTGGGTATTGAGAAAAATCAGAAAACTTTCATAGGTGAAATTTGGAAATGAAATAACTGGACCAAAGTTGCAAGTATAATATGTAAATATTGTGATTCATTTTAGCCTTATGTGACATGATCTCTCTCCTTCCATCTGCAATCAGACTGTTACCATGTTGCTTTTGACTCTAAAGAGCCATGCACAGCAGCATTGTATTTGTGGTCCTTCAAATTTGTATAAGAGGGATAGAGGTGAATCTTTTAGTATGAAGGTCCCTTTGAGTTAGTCCAGCAACCATGCACCAACAGTGTGCAGACAGCTCCCTGCCATGTATCAACATTAGGAACATCTTCTGTGGAAAAATCATTGACCAGTACATTAAAATGGTTATCATGTAGTAGGGCTAGACTACTCTGTTAGCACTACAGTGACAGCTTTCATTCCACATTAAGGGATTTTTCCCACAAACTGAAACAGTACATTGCTGGATGGATATTCCTCCTCCTCTCTCTCCTTCAGAGGAAAGCATTCATTTCCTTTATGAAGAAAAGGAAGAGGAGGAAAATTCTAAATAAAGAGACAGCTTGTAGTGTCTCCTTCGTGAGATTGACCTCTTTCATGATTGTGACATTGCTATAATTATTTTATGTAGCAGATGTAGTCAAAATGAAACCTAGGAGATAAGGAAGTCCTGCAATCAGACCTACCCTTAGTCTTCAATCAATGTGCTGCTTGACCCATCTCTCTACATGCTTTCATCTATTTCGTGATGATGAATTTTATGTGTATGGTCAAAATGGAGCTTAGGAGGAGATTAGACAGGAAACCAAAAGTAAAGAAACTTGTAACTAGACCTATCCTGTTCCTGAAGAAATTCTATGACTAGTGGATATTTTGCCTGCTAGCTGTTTGGGTGTTGAAGCACAAAACAATCAAGCCAACACAATACAAATCATGTGGTCTATCTTGCAATTGTTAGAAATCACAGCTTCCTGATAGATGCAGATGGTGGAATCCTTTGAAATGAAAAAGAGGAGGGCATGGGGAAAGAAGGTCTTTTCCCTCATGTGCTGATTACTGCTTTGCAATTTACCTAGAGAGCTGTTCTTATGGCTTCACAGGAACAACTTAGCACACATATAAGGAATCTCAGTTCGTGCATGTAAACAGTACAGGCACTAAATCGTAGCCAAGAGGAAAGATGATCTGATTATGTAAGTGCTTAATTGCTTCTTTCATTCTTTTCCGATAAAAACATCAGGGAGGCAGAAGGAACAAGAACTGCCTGTCTGGAGGAATTAATTATTTTGACTGCTTAGAAAGGAAGTGGACTTTGAGATGGTTAAAGCTATTAAAATAATATGCATATCTCAGATTTCCAGAGATTGTTATGGAATTTGTACACATTTATTTATATATTATTACTAAATTCTGATTAGTGAGCATTACTGTGCATGTTAAATTTAAGTATTTTTTTTAAAAAAAAAAAAAAAGCACAAGCAGGGGGCACCCGGATTTGAACCAGGGACCTCTTGATCTGCAGTCAAATGCTCTACCACTGAGCTATACCCCCTGTTCTGCTGCAAACATTGTTGTTACAGGTTTTTTTCAAGGGAAGGAAGTGAAACTTAAATGTTCCGTTCAACGGTAGAATTTCTTCGTGTAGTTTCATTATCTGCCCGAAGATCCCTTGTTTTTTCCCCCAAATCAAATACATATTGTAGGGCTTTTTGTTTAGTGACAATAGGAAAGACCCACATAACACAGGATTTGAAATTGTTCCATTTTGACCCAAAGTTGTATATTCTCTCCTTATTTATTGAGCCTACAAATATATGTGGAATATATACTGAGAGAACCTGGACTAGAAACTGGATGAAAAAATACAGGATTAATTATCTGCACTGTGACACTTGTAACACTAAAAATGCAAATGATCCACAAGCACAATAAAACATTAAAATTAAAAAAATGGGACAGTTAGATATAATGAAGATGATGATAGAGCAATCAAGCTTGGAACTGACAAAAATATTGAAGTTGTGGAGACTTCTGCTTTTTAGACTATCAGTAATAAAGTAATCAGCAATCAAGACACAAATTGCAAGCAAAATTTGGAAAAATAACAATGAAGGTGTTGGAAAAGATATGCAGGTATCATGATGTATCTGTCTATAAAGATAAGACTCATGAAGACAAGAGTTTTGCCATGACACTTTATTGAAGCAAAGGTTGGATTTTGAAGACTTGGGATAAAAAGTGTACTGATATTTTGAACTTTGTGTTCCCCAAGACTTCTGAGAATATTGTGAACAGCCAAGAAAATAAACAAATAATCATCAAAGATATCAAATTATTCTCACTCAAGGCACAAAGGACCAGGCTCAATGTCTCTTACTTTATATTATGTGAAGATCTAGTTCCCCAGGAAAGTCTTACGTTGCAAAGGCAAAAGGAGAAAGAAGAGGATCCTTAGGAGGAAAGTAGGACTCACTTATATGGCGATGGGTACACTATTGAAAGACCTGAAAAACTAGGCAAGGATAGATCACTTTGAAGATCTGCACAGATCTGTGCAGTCACAAAGATAAACACCAATTTGTGGAAGTAATTAACCAATCAATTGATCATTCTGACCATTTAGGAAGGGAATAATTTAAAATATAATGTCCCAAGATTGAACTTAAGAACTGGAAATGGATGTTTTGTTTATTGTTTAGTGAAGTTTGTTACACATGGAGTCCTGTGAAGAACACACAGGATTCCTTACAGCAGTGATCCCCAACCTTTTTTACGCCGCGGCCCGGTACCGGCATCAGCTGGGCGCCGCGGCCCGGTAACAGCATCAGCTGGGTGCCGCCATCTTTTTTTGATGAAAAAGTGCTTCCGGTGACCTCACCGGAAGCACTTTTTCATAAAAAAAAGATGGCGGCGCCCAGCAAGCCAGCGGCCCGGTAGGACTTGTTCCGCAGCCCGGGACCGGTCTGCGGACCGGTGGTTGGGGACCCCTGCCTTACAGGATACCGTAGGATTGGGCATTGCATCATAAAAACTGTCTGCAGCCTAGTACTTTGAAGAGGTATTGACTATATAATATTCCCTCCCAGTATAGCAAAGAAATGTGGTGAGAGTTGTAGCCTGATACATATTGAAAGTATGCATTCTGCCACTAAACCTTTCCTGACATCTTAACAAATAAGCCACTTATTACTATCAACATTTTCACTGGTCACAAGCCTAAACTTTGGATCTTTCAAGTATAATTCC